AAGGAGCCAAAGGAAAAGAAGGAGCCCGACGAAAAGCATGAGCCAAGCAAAGTGTTGAACTACGAACTCTGAATCCAAGGAGCATGGCCAAGTTTTTCAACTCCGACACATACAAACAGGAGCAGCACGAGCCTCGCCCCGAAGCCCACAAGATCTCAGAAATGGACCGACGAGCCACGCTGAGGAGCCTATCGAGCCAAGTGGCTGAAGAGGGTAAAGGCGAGACAGAGTCGGGCGGCGACACCTCCCCAAACACCCCAAGCCCGTCCCCGCCAGCCGCAGCTTCCCGTTCCGCAGAGCCCAGCCCGCCTCCACCAGCTGCAGCTTCCTGTCCCGCAAAGCAGGCTTGACCGCCTGGTAGAATTACTCTATATATATGCTAGGTACTTATTTGCTTTGTTTTGGTTTCTGGGCAGGCACGACTGACTACTTTGTCAGATGAGCAGAAGACGGGCTTGGCAAAGATGTCTTCTCCCAAAGAGCTTGGGCTTAATCTACACGGTTCAATCTAGAGGTGCAACTACTATTACGCTTCGCTCAGGACATGCCTCGATCCGAAAGGAAACGCCAGTTCGCAGCTATGGGACGACGACTGAAGTCAGATCAGGAAGCACACCCTGCCCTTGTAGCCAAATGGAACCGTGCCGATGATGTTGAGAAGTCACTTAGCTTCATTATTTCTGTCTATTCGAATACCTCAGAATATATCGGTCCTGGCAGTGAGATCTTCAGCCTCTGCCTGCACGAGCGAAGGTTTGGGATGCTGAAAGAGTGGCTGCTGAACGACGGCAAGTTGGGCGACATCCGGGTGGAGGAGAAGTGTTCCGATTGATCTGGGTTGTTGTCTTAATCTAGCTGGCTAGATTGTTCCCGCAATGGACAATCTAAGGTTCGTCAAAATCGCTGAGACGATGGAGACGGACCAGTATGTGACGATGACGATTCTCCAGATGGAGAAAGAGTTTGGCGACTCAGAAGAAGCCCAAGAGTTTATCGCAGAAATCTGCAAGGGTGCCATGCCTGCTGTTATGTGCAGTCTACAATCTATGAATCGTGCCCTGCTAGTGTAATTATTTGACTCATCCGCCCAGGGCAGAAAGGAACGCCTCATCCACAAGCTCCAACTATTAAGAAGGCTCGCATGTACAAGGTACTCAAAGCCCTGTTGGACGAGAGGCGACGAGGCTCGAGGGGCGAAGCATCTGCTAGTGTTGGAGGCTCGATCCAGGACCCTGCTGCAAAAGCAGCTTTTGCCAAGACGCTGGCTAGCCAGACGGAGAAGCTTGAGGGAATGGAGCTGGTAGACAGATCGACCGGAAAGATCGTAATCCCCAAGCCCAACAAAAAACCTAAGCCGCAAACCGATGACGAAAAGATGGTTGCCAACTTCAAGGCACTCGTGACGAAGCTACTTGACTAAACATGCTAGTTCGCAGTTAGTCGAAGCCTCCAGCCTTGTCCCAATCCCGAAATCTGAGGTTCAAGGGCTTTGACCAAAGGATCACGGACAGCCTTCGTGAGCTGACTGCTGCAAAGTACAGTAAAGACTTGGCGGGCAACCTATACTAGTCCCACAGGAGAGATGTCAACTATAATTGCACTACGTAGTAGACTCGGGGGACTTCGGGGATTCAAGCTTTAAGGTCGATCACCTCAACGACACGCATAAGACCCTGGCCGGGAAGTGCAAGGAGCTGGAGAACTACTTCAAAAAACTGACCGTTCAGGAAATGCAGCCTGTTTATGAGGCTTACTCGGCCGAGGCAACAAGTATCGAAGATGATCTTAGAGAGGCGAACCGCAGAAAGCCCAAGAAAGCCAAGGCTGGCAAAGCCGGCACGGAGAATGCCTCCTCGTAAGTCGTTGGCTCGTCGTGTGGCTGGTACCTGAGAGCAATCTCAATACTAATTAGTAGGCAGTCATAGATCTTGGATCGTGCCCACGGTTCTGAATCTGACCTTGCTTGCAGGTATCAGTCGATCACACGTTTTGTGCTGCTGTGTCTGTGAACACATGGCCTACGCACCAGTTGTTAATTTATATGTGCAGTTGGGTCCAACCGAAAATGGGTTGCTTTGTAGGGGACACGACAATGCTCGATCCTGTTTTCGTGGAGATGACCTCTGCTGCTGACAGTAAGACTTGCGAAAAACCGCATGTGGGATATGCTTTCATGTTTGCACAACCGAGTGAATATATTGTGACTTGTGGCAGGCATAATTTATGCACGATCGTAGCTTTGGCTACAGTAGTTATAGACCAACACCCCGGCTGAAACCTTTGCCTAAAAGCCCAAGATTACACTAGCAAACCCTTGCACACAAACCCGCATTCAAGCACGCACAACTATACCTAACAATTCCTCCTTAAACCCCACATGCCCGCAAGGATGACAGGACCCTCTACGCCGCAATCCTTTCGATCGTAATCGACTAATCAAAGCATAAGCATCAAGTACTTCCCATGGGCCTAGCTTTGCAACCCGTGCCCGATGTCTAGCAAAAAGGCACACCTGGATGCACGCATCGTCCCATACCACCAGTGCCATAATTCACCTTGGAGTGCAGGATGGCTCTCGAGCTATCTACGGCATGGTGGAGGAGTTCTTGGAACTGTCACGACGATTGTCTGTGCAGACTATCAGGGACTTAGTGTCGGCAGTCCACAAACGAATCCCAAGTATGTTTCTTGAGCAGCTAAGTTGCACACTAGATGTCATGTCGTTTGTAATGAACCGATGCCTGGGATTTCGCATCAACTAAGGGAAGCCTTTCGAGATCTGGCAGAATGCACGAGGGGTGCGAATAATGTGCAACGGAACTTTCGATGCTGGCTTCGTCGACAGCAGTGGATGAAATGCTTGCCTCAACCGGTGAAGCTGCTAGATTGCACTAGGTTCGCTCGATGAGTCAAAGCTGGGTGTATATCGATCTTATTGTGTTCCGAGGATAGAAGTCAACCAAGCTCCTCCGTCTGACCGATGAATGCTCATGATCCCCATCCAATTTCCTGCATGAATACTCAGGTAGATAGGAAGCAATCGCAGCCCTTCTTCGTCGGCCCGCATGCGATCTTTCTGATACCGGACTGGCTTTCTGTATGCATTAGACGACTTGTTGTATCCTAGCTGCTCTAGCTTTCGTGACAAAGCTTCTCAATCCCAGGTTGAACTCCATCTACGAGTACGACCTCGAGATATTCCAGTCGATCTTCTTGGGTCACGATGCCGATAGCAACCTTCGGGAGTATTGGGCTCAGAATTCTAAGTCGGACTGGTTCAAAGAACATCCGATGCTGTCAAAACTGACGATAGCCGAGTTGATGTACGTAATACCTTTGGAAATCCACGGCGACGATGCCGAGCTGCACAAGAGAAGATCTTTCGGCATCAGCACCGTTAGCAGTGCACTTACAACCGGGTCAACTTGGGACCACAAGCTGTTGCTTAGCTGCTTCGACAACAGTGCTGCTGGTGAGTCAACATCGACCGAAATCGATTGTTGGATCTGCTGGGGTCTAGTGTGTGCTTCCGCCGGTAAATATCTTGATCATGATTGGCACGGTCGTAAGTTCGACGAAACTTATATGCCGCAATTGGCAAAAAAAGCTGGGCGACCTATTGCCGGTGACTTTCGCTTCGTATTCGCTGGTCACAGAGGAGACCAAGTTTATATTCACAAGTGCTACAAGTTTGAGAACTACTGGACTTCCGAGCAGATGTGTCGATCGTGTGCCGCTGCTCGGATGCTATCTATCCAAATCTATTCTCTGCAAGCCCCAAAGCACGAACCCTGCAATTCCGCACGAACTTAAGGCTGAGAAAGATGGGCTTTCATCGCTTGGATACACTCACTACGGCCCTGAGGCAGAACATCGGAAGACGCACCCCGGCTGTTACGTACGATCGACTAGACTCCTAGCATGAAAGCTATTTTTATTACACTCCATGGTTTCTGAGGCGGTACAGTACAGAAGAAGTCATCAGATCCAAGTGTGGGGCGACACCATGGGTTCGCATCCCGGGATTTTCTATCGACAGAATTTGGGAGGACTATCTCCACGTTGTTGATTTGGCATTAGCCCCTGACGCTTGTGCCTCCGAGCCTTGAATGAAAAAGCCGCCTAGCCCAAACTACAGCAATAAAATTTCGAGATGGTTTCTTGACTGTTCAAGGCTTTGTTGGAGCTGACTTCGAAGGGTGGCAGGAGTCCATGGCCTGGTACGAGCCAGGAAGCACGACTCGCAGCTGCTTATGTGGAATTTTCTGATGCTTGCAAGGCGGAACACATTCGTAGCTTAGCTCCAATATTTGGTTTATATAATCACTTAAGACGGGTAATTGGATGCCTGAGGCAATCGAGCACCAACCTTTTCCTTGAAGTCTTTGAAATCCGTGGCAAACAAGAACTCGCGGACCTACCCGACTCTATCCCAGAAGCATTTGAGTGGAGCTGCCTGGAGCTTACAATCCCTGTCAAAATAGCGATATAAGCCTGAGCAACTCAATATCCCTATACTTAGGAATCTATCGTGATGGTCAAGTGGCTCAGAGGTGTGACGATCAGAGTCGCAAACCATCATCCTGGATTGTATTGGCAGCAGCTTTGGTTCAATTCTGAAGCCTTAGCATCGACCAAAAGGTTTGCTTACTGTATCTGTGATCAGGAATATGGCAGCCATCTTTGTGAATCTGGCTGGGATGCGAGACTGTATCTCTGGGTGCAAGTTCTTCGTGCCCAAAGGACGAGCCCAGGCAATGCAACGACACTATGTCATGTACAGATCCAGCTACAATCGCCACTAGTATGCATTAAATGTCATGTGCTCAATAGCTTGTGCGAAGATGCATTTATTCAGCTGCTGAGACTGTGCGATGGATGCCTACCTCCGAAAGAAGATTTTGTGGAAGTTACGCCCCAAAATGCACACGTGCCTCGCCAGCAATAAATGTAAACCCTAAACCCTAAAATCTAAAAC